TGTGGACGTGCAACGACGCTGTACCGATTTCTTTCGTATCCAAGACACGCAACTTTTTAGCTTTTTTTCACGGACATCGCCAGTGGTAACGGTACGCAATTTTTTTGATAAAAAATGAAGGGAAGACTATAGCTATGTGCGAGTAAACTTGGTAACTCTGGTGCTGAAAGACAAAGATGAAAAACGAGGAAAGAGGGAGCGGCGTTGCTATCGTGCGGTTATTTTCGTTGGCGTTTCGTTCGCGACGTGGTCCCGGCCAGGGGTGCTGAAGAAAAGAAGCCTCGTTGGAAGCGCCGCGACGTCCATCCCGTCGAAAGAAAAATACGCAAATTAGATTGCGCTGTCGATTCGACGAGTTTGACGCGTAGAACGCGTTGGCAGATATCATTCTGACTGTAAAAGTCTAGCGTATAAATAAAATAGCATAGTAAAAGCTGTTTGGTAAACGAACTGAAAACGAAGAATGAGAATTGGAATTTTGGATCCAAGAAAATTCTTATAGTAATTTTTATCGTAGTCACCGAGATGATGCAGTAGGATTTCGATATATAGAATGTGCATATATGTTGTTTAATTTTTCCTCCCTCTCCCATTTCTCACCCCTTTCACGCCAAAATAGATTTCTCAACGTCAGCGTATTATCGCGACGTATTGCAACGTTTTTGCGAGCGTAGCGCGATGAAACTTGTTCCCGCAGTAACGACCGCAGTCGACGCAAATAACAATACATGAACATTGCGGATGAAGAAAGTTGGCAGAATTTGCCGCGGCGAAAGAAAGCCTTGGCGATGTTCATCGTGACGGGAAAGAATGGGACGTTCTTCATTCGCAGGAATAAGTCGCTTTTCGATTGTGGTCCGTGGTTTATGCGGCGGATGCGAAATAATTAGAGAGTGAAAATAACTTTTGCAGTAATTGGACATTAATCTGATAATGCTGTATTGAATGAAGGATTTTGTTAGATTGCTTTCAACGATTATTGTAACTTGTAATTTTAAAGTATTTTATATATACAAGAACGTGTATTTCTCTCTCTCTCTTCCAAAAATTATTTATAATAATTATAGAATGATTATTATAGAATAATAACACATGTATATACTGTGGAAAGAAATGGCTCAATAAGATTTTAAATTTACATCGTATGTTTTCTATTATACATAAATATCGATTTAACCGTTAGACGTTGCGCAGCACGGAAATATCCTTGTGTAATTTGGCTACTTTTCGTTTCAACCGAGCTTTCGCAGTTACGTTTACGCCGCGAATAAAACCCGCATGTATTTTTGTCGGTAAACGCCTACAAATTAATTATGAATCGCATTGTACTTCACGACCGTGTGAAGAGAGTTAACGTGAGTTAGTTCCCGGTTTATCTGCGCGGCTTTCCTGTAAAACACCGATTATTATGGCTCTATATTTACGTTTGTGCGAACATGACGAAGTAGCACGGGAATATACCTTACAGCGAAAAACATCTTGAAAAGATGTGAAAATGATAGTAAAATAAATAAATGAGATTGAAACGATAAAAATGATGATAAAACGAATAATTTAAAAAGCAATTTAACGACGACTTCGCGATTGTTTCATAACATGATATTCACGACCGTGGAAACACAAAAAATCGAAGATAAAAGGCAAAGAAAAATTATCATTGTACTAATTGACAGATGGTAAAATGATCGATAGAAAAATATCACGAAAATATCCTGAAAAGAACATAAATATTGTAGCTCAAAAAGCTAAAAAAGTTGGGCTTAGAAATTGGAAAAAACGCTCTTCATATAAAAATGTGATTGACATACTAATCTCACATTTCATCTGACAGGTCATTTTTCACCGCCAAGACTTAAGGATTTTCTATGATCTTTGCGGTATCGAAATTTTCTATGCCAATAACGCGCAAAGTAATCGATAAACTGCAAACTATGACGCATCTATCAAGCCTCGAATTTAGAAGCTTGAGCTGCCGAAAAGAATCAAGTCAATTTTTTAATGTGTAAAGAAATAATTTACATAAATGTCATAATTTGTGATTGTACTATGTTATTTCAGCTACGCATGATTTTATATGTTTTTATGCAGTTGATTTTTGCGCGCAATTAAAAATTCTTTGAAAGTAAAAACCTTCGAAACCGATCCAATCACAGTCCAACACGGCAAATTTGATCTTTCATATGAGCAAAAAGACTTGAGCCACTCCGCCCTCTTTCTTCGTGCTTTCAAACGATTTCAAAAGAGCCGATTATTGTAATTTACTTAGGGTGCTCGCACAGGTGCGCGTTTTTGTTAATACGTTTTCAAAAATTGCCCGTAATCCGCAGCCGAATTTCTCAGAAGGCTACTTTTGTATTCGATGTGCAATTGCCGATTGAAACATGCAATCGTTAATACATTAAATCGCACGCACGACCACGTGATACAAATATTTAAAAAAAATTATCGTAAATCTTTACATACGAAAATATTTTCTCTACATCTTTTGATGATTCAAAAAGTAAAACAGACAAAAAATCAAATATATTTTATAGATATATTTTTATCAAGAAATTCTAAGATTTTTCTTTTAAAGAATCTTATAAACAGGCCAAAAATTATTGTTTAAAAATGTTATGTGAAAAAGTGTTTTGTCAATTATTTTAAGGAATATATTATTAGTACAATATTTTTGAAGAATTTTTAAGATATATTATATTATACCAACCATTTTTTGCGCTGCAATCAAAGCGCCAGCCTCACACATAAATCCGCACATTTTTTCAACGATGCACCTGCGTGCAAAGTATCGAATGTAACTGAGCTGTGCATCGCGCTTGCGGTCTGCTCTGTCGGAAAAACTTGTCTGACTGGTCATGCATAAAATACATCGAGTCTATTGACACGAGGACCAACAGGAACAAAGCACTTGAAGGTGCGCGATATTGCGGTGAAAAACGTACGCGCTTTTAATAAATTATCCTTTTATGACATCACCGCAACGCGGAATTTACATAACGCGAGTTATCTTCTTATACCTCCGTTCTAATAAAAACATCTTCAGTTTCATAAATAACACCGTAAACAAATATCTAAATATATGCAAAATTTGTTTATATACTAGCTATATACGAGCAAATATTCATTCATAAAACCACAGCGTAATGCGATGATTTAATTCGCGTGGTATGCTAATTCATAAATAATACAAATGTAGGAAAGAATGCATAATAGTATACAGTGCGACAGAAAAATCATGACTGATTATATGATAAACATAGAAAGGAAACATTGTCATGACATAGTTGGCTTCGACTAATAGTCGACCACACAACTTCGTGCAAAACAGGTCGACAGAACTTAACAGGTGTGACAGAAGGTGCGCCACGTGTCTAATATCTAATATCTAACCAATCTTAATATGAACTTTCGCACAAATTGGCAAGTGGATAGCACATTAACCCAAATACACATTTCCTCTATGCGTACATACATTTACGATCTGAATATACTTGAATACACGCTTGAATATAATTTGTTTTAGTTCGTCATCACTTCATTGAAATAGACTTTCGCTCAGAGACTTGAAAAGAGAAGATTTATTGAAATACGCAATATGGTGTATATTTCCAATTACCGTTCTTAAACCATGTAGTGAGCGACAAAGCTTTATGGAAGATATGATTGGAAAACCGATCGCACCAATTAAATACCCATTTCATAAACATATTTCAATATAAAACTGTGTGAGAGAGATTTAAAATCAATAAAAAATATTTAAAACTCTGTAATAAAAAAAAAAAAACAATATTATTACGAATAAATAAAAAGAAACCACAAACTCAAAAATAAGAACAATTAAATCATAATAAAAAATAATCAATATCGAATATTAATTTATTTTTTAAACAGTTGTAATAGTGAAGTAGCATGATATAATGTCTTTTATTAGATTCCTTCATAACATTTGAACATACGATTACTTTACACCTTCGAGGCCATCATTGGAATGTTGTTATTCCGCAGCGATAATACAGCTCGCTGATTATTGTGGAGCTCGAAGCCTCCCCAGGATCGTTCGAGGTACGTCGTAATGATGCTCAGGCGGCGAACCAGTTGTGGCCTCGGGGCCCTTCGGCCCTGCCACCGCACTTATTTGGCCCCAAGATCACCCTCTATCACTAACCCGATCCCGAAGCAGACGAAAACAAGAAAAAAAGAGCACGGGGAACCCGCAAAAATTAACCACGCGCTCTCTCGCACCTGGTCCAAAGATGAAAACACGTAGTCAAACTGGTTCAGAACTCCTTGCCGCAAGGAGAAGAGGCTCTGACCAGCTGCAAAGTTTTATAAATGCTTCTAGTTATCATCTACATCTTAACAAAGAAGAAGTCTATAAATAATAGTATAATATAACGCGTCGCAGATATAATGCGATAAATATTAGCCGTGTCGATCCGGCCCCGCCCGAGCAATTTTTAATTTGTTTCATTCTCTCGATAAAAATGAATGGCACACCCAACTTCTCGATAACGTGTCGATTGCGAGCGCACAATGCGCCAGATAGTCGCGCTCAATTTTGCAGGAAGATACAAAATCCCGATGTGCCAAAAGGGTTGGATTTATAAATCCAACGATAAATCTATCAGCGGCAAAATCTGACCGATATCGCGCTTATGGCCGCTTGCCAGAGGCGTCCTGTAAATCTTATTGTATTATACAGTCGCGTGCAGAAGTCTCTCTCTTTCTTTTTTTCCTTATTTTGCTCATCTCTTCTCTCGTTCGAATGAACGAGTCGTAAGAAGCACGATTTATTTAAGCACCGTCATTTTTTTATTTGCTACTTGGTCGTTATTTGCAGCCAGAAAGCGAAGCCCTTCGAGCGGAGTCGTCAAGGACGCTTCCTCCTCGTAAATAAGGAAGTCCGTAGCTTCTCCGCGCAAGATGTTGGACATGCTTTTATATTTACTTTCATATTTTATTATTCAAATGGCTGAACCACGCAGCAATATATTATTAATGTATAGAAATTAAACAATGTTGTATTTATTCGCATGGAATTGAGTAAATTTCAATATATTCTCGTTTATATAATCAATGAAATCCGACTCGTATTTATAATTTTGGCAAAGCGTTACAAAGAGAGTTCTTATAAATATTATATACGTTTGTCAAAATAATAGATTTATTCTATAGTTACAAACTATTTGATATATAAGCACTGTTAAGATAAAGCGCGATTTACACTTCGTTAAAGAGCCACTCTATTAAATGAAATGGTTGCGTGTCAGCAAATTGTATAATATCGTTACTCGCTCGGCAGTGTCCACGTATGATGTAGGACGTCACACTCCCATAAGGTAAATATGTAGGTGGTAGTCCTACAAAGTACCATCATATGCGTCAGTCAGTAATATGCGTGTAGATCGTTGAAGCAGCATGTGCTACCAATTTGTCGGTTATTTCTTTCATTGCTTCTTTCAGCAATATAAATCGTAAAAAGCAATACAGGCGCTAAAAAGCTCGAGAAAAGTGTATAAATTTCTTAAAAGCAAGTTCGTGCATGCAGAATTTTTCGCAGTGCACGGTTGATTAATAAAAGATTTGAATTCGTAGATTATAACAAGCGATAAGTCTAAGTGTGATAAGAAGCCAAGTGATAAATCTACGCAAACATTACATCATGTTTAACAAACATGATATAAATGAAATTCACACATACCTAAAGAATCTGTCTCCGCGTATTCAAAAGGATTTTATTGCAACGACAAATCCTACCAAAATGAACATCATTATACCAATCATACCCGAGCCCGTACGCAATATCATGGATTTTACGCTGCTGGTGGCAGGTACTAGCCTAAATGCTTTGCTGGGTCTCATTATCGCATCAAATTCTTCCATGTACACCTCCGCCAATTGCTATATAATGAGCCTGGTGTTATCAAATTTGACAATCCTACTCGAACCGCTTCAGCAAATATTTCGCTGGATTTTCGATATAGATCTGGTGATGAATCTCGACTACATATTTTTGGTGAGCTTTGGCACGTCCATCCTAACGATAATTATATTAAATATCGAAGCGTACGTTGTCGTTTGCCACAAAAATTGGCCCTTTCGCAAATCGCTCGTGAAAATTTCAACGGCTATAAAAGGCACCTTATTTATATGGATAATGTGTATTATGGTGACAGCTATGGAACTAAATCTCTACGATCATTATGAGGAAGAAATTGTATACGACATCTACGTGTCATCCACCGTTATGTTTCTAATATTCCCTTGTTTTATTTTTATTATACTTGACTTCTTCATTTTGTACGACTTAATAATATCGAAATTAATAATCGGAACATGGCCAAGCAAAGATATCGAATGTTTCGTTTTTCTAGGTGAGTGGAAATTTCATTTTAATATTAATGCAAATAATATTATTTAAGTATCCATAGATTTCGAAATAACATCTACGTTTCAGTTGGTATTACTATCGGATTTTTTCTAACTATGATACCATATCGAGTCGTGAGAGCTATTGCTCTTTTAATATCGGCAACGTCTTGCTGTAGCGATACGACGATAGAGATAGTGTATACGATGGTTAAAATATATCCGATGATCCTGCCAATAATATGTTTCGTAGTATCTAAAGAATATCGTCAAGCGATTGAAGTAATGTAACATATTACTAAAAAGTGAAATTGGACATTTATAAATCGCTACTGTTCTCTGCCAACTAAATTTAGTATTTTTTTTATTGCAGACAATGCTACGTTGTCAACGGCATGAAACTTCCATCATAATATAAAGAAGAGACAAAGAAATATTACAGATATTCCGATAGATAAAGATACATCAAAGCACACCTCCATTTGGACATCATCTAATCTGTTTTATTACACTCTTGCAAAGATTTCTTACTTTTATCGTGCTTTTGAATAATTTACTATTCCTGAGAAGAACTTAGAATTCACGTGTGCAATAAGTAAGCACATCCGCTCTCATGAAGGAAGAAAGAAGCGACGCGCATGCAGAGTCTGCACACAAATTTTCGAATTCACTGAGCTCTCTGTATGCAAATTAGTTCCCTTTGAAGTCTCTCTTCCAAGAGCAAAAGTCGAAAACCAGCATTGTACTTACGGCTTCACTTATCTATATACTTATATAGATAAGAAGATATATATTTCGTTTTGTGTAAATTATAACACATATTGTTTAAGTTATATTTTTGCTTTCTAATTATTTATATGTACAATACTATTATATTTTTGTAATATTATTGAGTAAAATATGTATCATACAATAAAATATGCATCAAATACATGATAAATAAATTTTTTTAGGAAAAATTTAAGCCATCAATATATTTGAACATCTCTTTTATATCACGTATTCAACGCGTGCTTCATTGAATTAAAATTCAAAACATTACGGTAAAAACATTTCCTTAAATTCATTCAGCTGTAACACAACATTTCCTTCCTAACAAGAAGCATTTATCAAATCAGGGATAAAACCTCGAAGTGTTTATAGCTATCAAGTAGTCTGTTTGGCTTCTCGCGATTAGGAATTCCTCTCACGACATCGTTTCGTATTCCCTCCTTCACTGCAGCATCCAAACGAGATTTGCCGATATTTGTAAAGATCGGGCTGTGTATTAAAAAAATAATATCAGATTGCTGGTGAAAGTCCATTCATGTTTAAATGATTATAGTGTTTTACGTGTTAATTACTTTTTCAATCAACGTCTCAAAGAAACAATTTAGTTCTATATAACTGTATCTTTTAATCTCACGATATTATCCTGAGAAACCATAGAGACTGAGCAGTTAATCAAACATTCTTAAGTTATTCAACTTTCCATAAAATGTAAATATTAATAATGCTGAATTCTTAGAAACAAAATAACTTTTTACAATAATTTTTTTTTATAAATATTTACAAAAACTAAAAGCAATATATGGTTCTTCTCTCCTTATCTAGATAATCTGTGTAAAATATATTGCTAATACGAGATATATATTCTACATATCGTTGCTGCAGAGAAAAGAAAGATCACGAAGAACCAGGAAATCGGTGACCCAGAACGACTAAACAGAAACTTCCGGTTCGATGAATGAGCTCTATCCTTTCCAAAAATGTACACTTCTCAAACAGCTAGGTTTCCTAAAGTTTAAATTTCAATTTCACACTATAATTAAAAATAGATATTTCATGATATTTTATGTGTGTATAGTGTACAATAAATTAATAAGTGTAGAATAAATTATAAAAAAAACATAATAAACATTAAATTGATTATATTACTGCTTAAAATTACAGAAGAGAAAAATAAGACAAAAAATATATACGCTTTGCAATAAATAATTATACTTTCAATATAAATTTTATAAAAGTATTATTAATATTTTGTAAGATATCTCTCTCTCTCTTTCACACTATGTAACTATAATTTTAAAAAATAGATTTTAGCATAAAAAATTCAAATATACTTAGAAAGTCATAAAAAAAATACCATAAAAATTTCAAATCACCCAGTATCATTCTTGTAATTTTTAATTGAATAGTGCTGTTTACAAATGCTACATTATTCGGTTAATGTATTACAAGTATGAGTGAAACAAATAACAAATCTTGCCATACATGCCAGCATCTAACTTTCTCCATTGTTTATGCCACGCGATAAGATTTTATCTATATCAATTCTTTTTTTAAATCGCGCATATATCTAATTTATTTTTAAAAGCACATGATATCGGAAATCTTGTTTTTTGTGTAAAAGGGTTATTTTAAAGAACTTAAATTATGAACGACAAGCTCGTCCTTGCAGTCCAAATGTCACGACACTGTTACGAACGAGTTGCTCGCGACGATGCCACAGCCTATGACCGTGATTGGCGCTCTATAAATATATACGAGCGATTTAAAAATGCAGTGACAATAATAGCCGCCGCTGTCTCGTAACCATATTAAAATACATTTTTAGCACCTCGTTCCGTTGTTTCAGATCATGGAGAAATGTGAGAATTACAAAATATACGAAACTTATCGAAGCGTGTCTCAACGAGCAGCGAAAATCAAATCGGGATCGCTCAGACCGGCGTTGTGCAGGTGCATATATGCATATTCATAAATACACCGTAAGAGGCATGATAGGAGGGGGATATAGGAAGAGCGATAGACATCGTATTGTTTGCGATAGCCAATGGAACGGATTCACCCGACACGACGTGTGAATGAAACGATCGAGTAACGTGGATAGAAACTCCATTCACGCTCGTCGCCGAAAAAAGCAGCGCGACTGTATCGATTGCGATCAACATCGAGTTTGACGAGGGCCCGCGAACACCCGGAGCTTTGTTCGACTTGCATCCCCTCGCACTCGAAATGTGTGTACGTGGTCTTAATTATTAAACGTCCGGCGCAAGACGACCTAGCGTGTGCTTCTTTACGCTGCGCTTGGCTTAGCTTGAAAAGCAGAAATGCGACAACGCAATAAAAAAAGTTTATTTAAGATAATTCTGATAATAAACTTAAAAATTTTAGAAAACGCTTTTTTTATTCGCGACGACGATTGTTTTGTGCTATGGTCAAAGAATCGCGATCGCTATAAAATGAAAAGAATACGGCAGTACTGAATACTTTACCAAACACGTCATGTGTGCAATTTATGAAACATCTTTACATCTTTCCTCAACATAAATCAACGCGACCTTTATTTTCACGTTAGCTAATCCAAACACCGATAAACCCCTGCGCTTGTACAAGGCGGAAAATGTTTTATCAAGTGCGGGTGTGTCTGAAAAGGCTCGAGAAATTTCTATTCGGACGCGTAGCCGCTCCAGATAATGAGTTTGGAAATACGGCGCCAATCTTATACAAAACTTCCGTCTCGTCCTACATGTTAACGGATTGCAGACCGTGCGTTGTATACTCTATTCTAATAAAATCAAACAGCTGTTACTAAGAATAATTAATATAAAACTTTTATATACATATAAGAGATGATTTTACATTTTAGCTGAAATTTATTTGTATTTATAAACAAGACTCTTATTTAGCGGAATAAAATAAATGACAAACAAAATAAAAAGATATCGAAAAGCGATAAATATAAGTTTCATAATTGTTGAAAATGTTGAGATAATGTTCTTTCTATCTCTCCCTCTCTCTTTGTCTCTCTTTCTCTCTCTTTAACCATCGTCCAAGTCAAAATTATAAATAACCGTTACAGATTACAAAATCATCTTCGTTGGATAAAATCTCAAGAAGTTTTAATGAAATCATAACCGAAAAATCCTGCCCGAAGTTATGTTCTCAACATCTTCCTGTTTTTCGTACTTACGTGCAGTCGCAGACAGGATCAGGACTTTATACATCAACATTTTTGATAAAAATAATTAGACTAAAGTCTTTACAGAAATGGCAAACAATATTAATAAGAGTTATTTTATCGGAATAAAAAATCTATAATCATACATAAAAGTATGATAAAAAGTATGATAAAATAAGGAAAATTTTCTAATTCACAAAACTAGTAAATGAGAAATTATTAAAAATAAGATATAAATTATACAAATTATCACATGACTTTATCGCAAGTAATTGAATTTTTATGATCATCATAACTCGAAATTAACTGAATGAAACTGGCTGACCCTGTTTTATACTGCTGTTGATTTCGTCACAAGATACATCGCTTTCACAATTAAATTCTTATTATATACTCTTGCGGTATATCCACATTCCGAATTTTCTACAATATCGTTTATATCAATCAAACAATCATGAATTACTTATGAATTTTCGTTTGATACATCGATCGATTTTCGTCATTGACATTTTGCATACCGATCATACGGCGCAGATGATTAAAAATCAATGCCTCAGGCACAACTTTTTTTCCATTCTCTCGTATGATTTCGCGGCGCATCGATAAAGATTAAAGCATGATTGAATGCCATATAAAATATGCGCATTGCACCATGATAATATTTACTCATCCATATTCATGCAACCTGCAAAACGGTATTATAAGTCATGAAATTAAAACGATAAGATCTATATATTCATTGCGAATTATTGAATTTATTTTATATTTAATTGAATTTATTTATAAAATTTATATATGTCTTTCAGATTTCATATTTTTTTAATTTATTATTATATATATAATATTAATTTTGTTATTATTTCCATTGTTTGATTCTGAAATCATAAATCTATGTCACACACATTACCTACCATTGAATTAAATCGCGGAATACCTGCATTATGTTCAATGCAGCGCGTTGTCTTTCAGATTTCAGATTTTTTTAAATTTATTATTATATATATAATATTAATTTTGTTATTATTTCCATTGTTTGATTCTGAAATCATAAATCTATGTCACACACATTACCTACCATTGAATTAAATCGCGGAATACCTGCATTATGTTCAATGCAGCGCGTCTTGCGACGAAACAACAGAATCGAGAAACGATTTATGCATTCAGTGGGAACTTGTATGAAGAAATGAATGGATCTTTCGTCGCTGGGACGACTAAGAAGTTGATGTATGTCTCCGCCGTGCGTTAAAACGCAAGGGAAATATTCCGCTGTAATGCGATAAATGAGACAGGGGCTTTGTCAGTGAAGAATCTTCTAAATTGTTTCTGGCTATGTAAACGTGAAATAAAATAACTATGCAACAAAAGAGATCTTATAAAACTTCAACAATTGTAACTGCTGAATTGTACTTCAATATTAAGTACATATAACTGCAAGAAATGAAAATGTGGGTCACAAAGAGAGACGTTTCTTTCAATTTAAATAATTTTGCTTGTACTTCAGTCTAGTTAAAATAACGCCGTTTTTGAAGAATTATGTTGAAATCAACGAGCGTTAACGAAGAACTAAATCTTTAACGTCGTCTCGTAAAAGACAGTAGCCTTCTGGGCGTCACTCTCGCGTCTAAAGCTCAACGATCAATGCACTCTCGTGACACCCTGTATATACCCATAGCCTAAGGCAATGCGTGGGTGGGCGTTTCGCGACGAGGCAACACATACAGAACCGAGGAACGCCAGCGTCTCTATGCAAACGCAGAGTGTGCACAGAATGGAGCGCCCTGTACAAATTCTTTACTTTAAAAAAAATATTCAGCATGAGTCAGACCGCAGAGAACGGAAAGGATGCTGCGTGAATATTTCGACACACGACTATTTATACATGTAGTTAGAGTTATAGTCATATGTAGGTCTGATTCAAAATTGCACTTGAACATTACTATCAAATAAATTTTAATAAATTTTTAATAGGATTTAGGACACACTCTTGATTAAAACCAGGTAATTCTTATAATACAGGTAACTTTTATAATACTTTTATAATATTTATATCTCTTAATGTATTTAGTAAGTACATTAAAAAAAACTATATTTTTTTAGTATCATAAAAATAGAGTAGATGTCAAAGCTTAATTATTAATTTAAAGAATACAAAAAACATCAAATAATTTAAATTATCATGCTCTTTGATTATCAATTCCCGACTTCTTATAATTATCATTATAATTATCTTATAATTATAATTATCAATAACTCAACATCCGTAATCGCTTGCTTTGTAGAATAATTTAAGACTGAACCAAGCTTATCGACATCTAACGGTAAATATTGTATCACGATAAGAGCGATAAAGGCGCCACACACACTCGTTTGATTTAATTAGATTTTAATGAAGACGATATTTGGTATCGCCTTTGCAACAAAACAACTCTTCTTTATTATTCTCTATTCTAAAACGCATCAATATTGTGACATTCTCATAAAAATTCTATTCAATACAATCTAGTATTCAGAAATAAATAAAAAAATAAGCGAGAAACAAAGAAAATGATAAATGGCAGCGATCGTATTAATATCGAATAACTGCGGAGACATTAAAGAGAAAAAGTCACTTCCAACAAAATAGTTATATAATTTTTTCGTCAATACGTTATGATTCAAAAAAATATTATAATAATATTACATAAAATAAAATGTTATAATAAATGCAAAAGATAATATTTAAATTATATCATTCTAAAATCTGAAATGCATTTTCGTAATTCAATATCCTAAATTCTCCCAAGAAAATCTCAAGATAATTTATATTTACAAAAAAATACCACATCGACAGTTTCATGATAAGCAGTAAAACAGAGAAATAAAAATATGTTGTTTAAAATGGAATGTTATTTGCGATCAACATGATTCAATGTATGGTTATTAAAATTGTCCTTCTGCTTCGAAAGAATGTAAATGTAAATCTCTCAAGAACTTTCGCAATAATGGACTTTTGTGACGGTTCGTCAAACTTGCGATATATCGTTTGAAATCTTGCGATACATCGTGACAGTATGAGAAAAGTTAGAAGCAAATGTATATAGTTAAAAATATACCGAAGTAGATATTGCTTTTAGATAGCAAAGCGTCTTTTCAAACTTATTTATATCATAAATAAAAGATGTAAAAAAACGATGAAAAGTACAAAATTCAATCTATATCTTTCTGAAAATTGCTGTAGAAAAGTTGTAAATCGCATATATCGATATAACGTTCTGAAATATAACGTTAAGATAAAACGGAATTTATCGTATAATTGAACAGAATAGATGATTTGCATATGATTTGAGGAACTGTCATCATGTCTATGCAAAGCAAATTCCATTCATCGCATTTCGTATGCGAACGACGAATAAAAGTACACGGTGGTACACGCTAAACGGCTCATTGTTTTCGAGAAGAAACAATGATGCGTAAGAAAATCGCTGACTAAATTTTCTCGATGACAATAATTTAAAAGATTGGAAAGAAGTTTGTATCGCAAAAACGATCGGTTCGCGCGACGTGCTCATCTATCATAAATACAACATCGTAAAAAAAAAGATATTATCCTTAATATTTATATTAAAGATTATACGTTAACACAAATGATTTTACATCACGATAGAATTTCAGAGATTTCAGATTCATTTAATATCTTAGAAAATAATCTACGCGCTTCTGTTTTAATATCGCTTGTTTTTCATTATATTTTTATATGCTAAATAATCTTGAAAGCTAATATGTGGCTGTTAATTATCCATCATTTATATTTAACAGTTGAACAAATAACTTATTTTTAGATATACTACAATTATACGCGTAGTTAGACTAAGCAATTACGGCATTAATTGCGCAGACCGCGGGCTAATAGAGTTCTTTCCGCGCAATAAACCGGTTATAATCGCATTACTATCTGACAGTAATCTTGAGGTTGAAAGATTGAAGTTTGAATTAGATATTTTCGATCGAAATGTATGATGTTCTAGATCGTGAAAAAAAGAATTTATATGTATATTAAAGTGTAAATAATATTATTTATAAATTAAGATATTATTTCTTAATTATTAATAAAATTAAATCCTTTTAAAATATCAAAACAGCCTTTTTTACAGATATTATTTCCAAAGATAAATTCTAATCCTTAAATTTGTCAAGCATACATTTTGTTATCAGATTCACACAAAGTATCAGTTTTATTCTTTGTTCGTGTAGCTATTCCGTATCGTATATTCAAGCAAGACATCGTATATGCAATAAATAAACGATGACAATTCACATCTTGCCGAAAATGCAAGATTAAATTGAATCAATCTTCCGTGCCGAACACGCAATGCAATTACGTGCGACATGCTTTCACCCCTGCAAGGATGTCATTGTCGCACTACGTAATCAAGGTCGCTTATCATCGTGATAGGATCATGCGATTTAAATTCTTGTCATTTTCGCGCGCAGATGGTCCTCGCTGTTTACGCGGTTACGTCCTTATTAGCGCCTCTTCTTACGCAAGTGTATAACGACGCAATCTTTTATTGCAAAATTACAGCCATTATACTTGTATAAACGAATAACTTTCGCGTATTTCTTGTGTGCGCTACATACTTAAATATAAATATTTGAATCGAAGAATAATATTTTTAATTATTACGTCCAAAATATAAATTTAAAAATTTACTCAATACATCAAAAAGTTTCTTCACAAAATATAAACAAGCGTACGTGCTTATCAATATATAATACGTTTCCTGAATTATTCTCGAAGTTATTCAAATATGCGAATTTCCTTGTACACTATATGTCAATTTGATGAAAACGACACGCTTACCTTTACTGAATTTTCATCCCGCAAATTCAAGGAAACGGCTCTCGTTATGGAGCTTCTACCTTGCATCGATAATCACCGTTGATAAAGCGGTTGATTGACAAGCAGACACGTCGTGGACAAGCTGGACAAACTGGCTGGACCACAATCGCGGTAGTACCGTTTCGCCGATAATTCAAACCACGACTAACTTGTGTCTTGCCGAATGATCGATAAAACGCGCGCGTCGATCGACGAACCGCGCGAATTCGCGCACAGATGGTAAGGAAATGTCGCGAATTTTACGAACGTTGATATCGACTCTCGCGTCAATCGTCACTGTCACTAAAAAGTAAACGACGCTTTCGCGCTTAAAAGTTTCGATATCGAACGCCGAACGTCATCGTTGATGGACCGCGATCGATTTTCGCGTCGATTTTAATCCATTAATCGCGACAATCTGGAAATCGAACTGATTCAATCCCTAACCGTACGATCAGCCGCGGCAGTCGGCGCGCACTGATGCGGCCGCGGAGAGAGCCACGCGACTCGGCGCGAAAGCGAGGCCGCGCAAGATGGCCGCCGGCGGGCGCGCGCTCGCATTGGTCACATGTCAGATATACATATATATATACACGCATACATTTTTAAACTTTTTACGAGCGTGAAATAAATAGGTAAAATTAAAATGTTATTGTTACGCTATTATCAATATTAATACATTGCGAATCAAAGATGTGAATCGACGTCTTGAATTTTTAAAGCATTGACAACCGGAAACGACGATTCACGTTATTCGAACGTTTTTACGCAGCATTGTTTTCAAATTAAAAATGTGTACGACGTGTGCAGCAGAAGAGATTCTTAACAAAATATTATATACCTTGCTCTTCTAGAAGGAATATTTTGAATAAAATATTCCAACTAGTAATAAACTTAATTACAATTTTTTTAAATTAATGCGTGCACAATTTATGATAGGCTTTAAAAATGTAAGACTAGGACTTTGCAATTAATACGATCTGCAATGTGTTAATATAGTGAGAGAGAGTTGAATTATAAATATATCTTAAGAAAATATGCATCATTATCTTTTTCAAACATGCAAGGGGATTTTCACGTGCATGCTCTTTCATTAATAATTATTCATGACTAACATCATTTTTGATCGACAAATCTACTTTCCCGATGAATGAAAATCATCTCCACAACGGATTGAAAATCCCGCGCGTTTAATCACAGAAGCGATTAATAATCCTCACGGATTGGAGGCATCTCCAGGACGTTCGACCCTGCAAGGAATGCGAGTGTAAATTTCCGGTAGACGAGTTTCTAAACGGGATGGGCGTATACTCGTTCGAATTCACTTTATCTTTCTCTCTATCGCTCTTTATCTCGCGTCCTTTTACTATTGCTCTCGCAATCGCCTCAGGCATCATTCGCTTCCGATATGCAGCTTCTGCTTTTTTATTTCATTATTCGATTGTAATTACGCGGCGACGCCTTATGCGAGATTATCCTCTCTCATTTTCTTTCGCGTGCGTAAGCTAAATATCACCTTCGTTGGACTTCGTTTCGCACATTTCGATATCATCGTTTGTATAATCACAGTGTCGGAAACATTCCGTTATACGGAGTATCTCTGAAAAAATCTTTCGAATCTTTAGTTTTGATTGATTCAAACTTAAAATTAGGACGCATTGTATTCAATTTATTTTTCTATTATTCATAATTTTGCATTGATATTATAAATTTAGATTAGCAAAAACTAACTTTAAAAATATAAATGAATAATATAATTATTGTGCAATTAAAGTTTTTTTCTGTTTTTACGGGAGAGCGCAGAACATTTATTTTTCTTAATTTTAAGATTTCTTGACAGAAATTCCACGCCCGCGATATCACTCTTCCTTAATCGAGAAAAACTTGCTCGACACGATCATTACCATCTGTTTCTGCAACAGGTGTGCCAAGATCGTTAAGTGGGTTGCAAAAGGGCGACGATTCGCGGTATGCGAGATTATATGAACAAGTGCACGCTCGTGCACACGAGAGCATTTATATAAACGCATCCCCCGCGGCCATGTACACATTCTAAATACGTGGCTATTACATCGCACAGTCGAACGGATGCTGAAAATCATAAACATATTACGTTCTGTCATTACGGATCGTGCTAAATCGTGTCCGCAAACGGACAGAAAAATTACGTCATATCCCTATATCTCTCCTATACAAGAATGCGATGAGATACAATTACGCTACAATATCTTTATAATCCTATTCATTATCAATCAAATTGTTGAACAATTAACTGACAAGAATATTATTTATACGGATAGGAATGATCGATAATATTTGAGGTAATATTTGAAATATGTCAACATATATATATAAAAGAAAGAAAATATATATTTACATCCTTCCCCACCTCTGTTTTGTAATAATTATTATAAAAATTAAGAAACCACACATATAAACATGAAATATGAATTGTTAAGAAAATGTAAAATCTTGAAATAGCATTTTTTTCGTGTTAAGTTCTCGTACGATAATAATATTCTAGTATATTTACATGTTGTAATAAATTCGTCGTATTCTCGAAATTGACAGCCATCCACACCTTTGAGATGAAAACAGATCGGAGAACCATCGATACATCCAACCGCAACGCGTGATGCCGATCGGCACGAGAAATTGACCACAAGGCTGCGGTAAATCGGAAGACAATGCAAAACATCGACAAAAAAGTCTATTGTTGCATACAGAAGTTCCTGCGGAAATTTATTTCGTATAAAAAGAAATATAATACAATGCAAAACGAGCCAATAGTTGTAGCATGAATTAAATACCTAAATGACAATGATGATTAAGTCTTGAATAATAAAAATATGACATAACAAATTAGTAAATCCAATAGTAACGATATTCAGTTTACGGGTATCGGTTTCATAAGTAATCTGTAATAAATTTTGCTGACAATGCATCAGGAAATCTAAAGCATAAAGATACAAAAGAATATACATTGCCTGGATTCTGGCAAAGAGAAGAAATCTGATTGCAATACAATCATATATTACATATTTTCGATATTGCAAAATTTCTCGATTTCCACGTATCATGTATGCACGTGAAAGGCAAAAATTCCTTGTGCAGAATCGCACGCGCCTAAATGCAATGTTAAGCCCCATTCTGGCACGCAACAGGAAATGCGAGCAGTCCGCGGTTCAAACAATATGCTTGAAAAAGCGTAAATATAACAATAGGCGCGAGAGACAGCCGGTACGTATTGCGTTTTACGCGTTGCACGCATTTGGGAGTGTCAGTCGATTATTGTATGCGACATGCGGGTCAACCCGTGAAATCGCGTGCGAATCGACTGACTGGAGCGCTAAACTTGCGTACGTTTCATTAGCCTCGTACGTTTTATATACATTCTCAGTTTCAAATATTTTCTCTAGCAAGATAAATGCATTATTCATTACAGACTTGCTTGCCGCACATAAAAAGATACGAGTTTTTTCTCTATGAATCGTAGATCGAAGCGACATACATATATACGTATATTCATATACTCTGTTTTTGTACGCGGCATTACTGTCATGGTACCGTTACAAGAAAGAGAGAGATTATCATTCCATACACCTAAATACTATTGAGGGCGGTAGAGGAGATGTCCAAACTGGTTTTAAGTAATTGCCGAGGGACACAAAACTGTCTGTGGTTTAGCATGGCTGTACGAACAACCGGTTTCCCCGAAAACAGAACATTTTAATATTGTACATTTAAAAGCGCATAGCATGCTAAAATGTCGATAGACTATCAACGTGGTGTAAAATACAAAGAGATATAACAAATATAAAATTTGAACATAAAATGCGATATTTGATACACACATGCATAATCATATTTGTTCCAAATAAGAATCAATACATACTCATCATTTGTACTTTTTGTTCTCTGATTAAATAAATAACACGGCAGACCTATTTCAAGTAAGAAAGAACATATTGCAAGAAAATGTATAGAATTAAATGTTATTAATACTTATTTGCAAATATTGTTTTTTTAATAACATTTTAAAACATACATTATATATACTAAAATTGTATAATAAAATAAAATGGTTTTTTACATTTTATTTATATGTAATAAATAATTTAATAGATAAATTTAGATAATGTAATATAAGATAATATAAATTTATTTGCATTGAAGACCTAATCAATATACTTCGATCAATTTTCACATACATTACATGGGGTTTTAATATAAATAATAATACATGTTAAATTAGTAAACTGCGCAATATAAGAAAAATCTTTAAAAAACTGGGATAGTCACAAAACTATGTGTGACTATGATATAATCATATTTCTCCATTACTTGTCAAAGTGCTACAAGTGATAAGAAAATTTGTGTTAAAAAAATGCGTTTTTAATTGATTGTTATCTGTACCAGAATATAGTATTATCTTCAAACAGCTTGTATATAAGAAAGTACATCTTCTCTCAAATATCCCTTAGGTATATTTTCCTTATCAGTAGTATTCCATGAGAATTCCAATATAGCTGTGGGAATTAACCGTAATTCTAAAAGTGTCTTATCATAACACTCTTCTATTAGTTTAATCCCATCTGGTGTCACCAAAGAAAAGAACACTTTATCATCGATTAGATTTTCATCAACAAATTCCATTACATTTTGGAATTTCTCATGTACCGAAAAAGTACCTTGTAATATTATTCCATCTGGAAATTTAATACGAAGTATGGCAAACTTATATCTTCTAAGTATACGCTGCTCATCCTTCTCTCTCATAGCCTTTGTTCTTAGCATTTGATTTCTTTCTACAGCTTCCGATCTGATAATAATTCATTTAATTACATGTTACATCAATGTTTTTCTCATTTTGTTATATCAAGGATAATTATATGTATACTTACCGCAATTGTTGCTCTCTTTTTATTTCTTCTGGAGTTATAGTGAAAAAACTAGGTGGCAATTCATTTTTCATGCGAGCTTGGCTAGGCATTAATACTTGCAGATTCCTATCCAATTCAAGAGGAATAGGTTCTGCAGATTTCAATGCTTCATCCAAGATTATAAGATTTTCAATATTACAATTAATAGGACTCCATACCAAGAAATCTTCTTCGTTCTCATTATGTAATAACTTCTTTTGCTCAAAACCAGCTGCTTTTAAAAAGTCTAGTGCTCCTTCAATAGGTAAAACTTTTTCCTGTAAAAATATGCATTTATGTATATATATACATAGATATACATTTTGTGTGTGTGTATGTGTATGTAAAAGCTATTTTATAATTTATTAAAACTATATATCAAACTACTATAAATATATTACTTGGAATATTCTATTACACATCCTGATTTTCCAGTACTTCTCAACATCGGGATTGTTAATGATATTGTCTAAATATTTGCCAAGTGTTTCTACACAGCTTTCAATCTTTTCTTTTCCAGTATTGCAATTTTGGATAATTAAACATGCTGTTAATCCTGCCTCTTCTCCCTTTACTTGCTCATACAAAAATTCTCTAATTTTCTTTTTCCATTCGTCTCGAAGCAATATTTCATCAGATAAATATGGACAACGAAAGAATACATCAGTAACTGCAAAAATGGAAGGATCTTCAACTCTATCTTTTTCATCTTTCAATGATGTATTTTCTGTCTGTTGTAAATTTTGCTGTGCTTTTCTTTCTAATTCCAATTCACGTTTAACACGTGCTTGAATGGCAGCGTATGATCTGTAAATAGTCATAAAATTTATCTTTAATAAAGCAAAAATTTCATTAAACTTATTAATATTATATAAAGATACTAGAAATAACAAATAAAAAAATAATTTTAATATTACATACGTGTTAAATCTTGGTTTATCACTTTTCTTTGCTTCTAATCTTGCTAAGGCAGCTTGGCCTGCAGTTTTGGCTTCTTCTGTAGGTTCCGCTCTCTTAATTGGTTCTTTAGACTTTGTTGGGATACAAGTACTGGTAGAATCTGTCAATCTATATACAAAAAAAGTCATAATGTATAATTAGATATTATTATACTTATTAAAATTTTTGTTAAGTGTGTTATCACTAAACTTGCTTTAAAAATTTATATTATTATTGTAATTACTTGTATCCTTTTCCTGCTTTCATAAACTTTGCGCTTGTCTTCTTCTTTTGGAAAAAAGACTTGATTTTATCAGCCATATTTATCAGATATCAAATTGTTGCTGTTATTTATATGAATAAAGTCTAATAATCAAATATCCAATATATTATTCAGTTGATGTATTACAATCTTTAGCTGCACCTAAAATAACATTTCATCATTAATTTAACCTGTTTAAATGATATTGCTTTTTGTGTTAATCTTTATACGCAGAAAAAAAGATAACATATTATTCAGACGACCGTACCTGTTTTCATAAATTGCTCCGTAATTCTAGCGCCGTAAATATGCCAAGCAACAAAGATCAATGCCACACTACTCAGGAGTGTCAACAGGAAGACTTTGAGTAGCTGAAGTTGAAAATCGTCGAACGCTAGCAACGCTATCAGTTCGTGAAAAAATTCGCGTAGCTTCGACGACGTCTCGTCATCAAAGATGACGATATCGTCGAAATTAAAGGTTAGTCCGAAAGTCGACGAGAGTAACGATAACAAGTTGTGCACGCATTTATTGATCGCCTCTGACAAATAATTCGTCCAAGGACACGAATCCTCATATGCGCTGCTCATCACATGAGGGAGAGATATCCAAATATCCCGATATACAAATTATCACTCACAACTCGAGATTATTGAGCGATTCTGTCACATCCACGGGATTTTATGAAAAATCAAGTTTATGGGACATTTATAACTATACACAAGTTTTCCCACAGTCATTACGCCGATCCATATACAGATGCGTTCACTTGACGCTGTCAGCGATGAAGCATTTCATTGACCAATCGGGGCAAAGATTTCTTTATTCTGATTGGTCAATCACGCTTTCATCACTTTAAACGTCAAGCAAATGCAGTGACAGTCGAGAATCTAAAAATTATAGCAAATTTCTACTCGATGGGTTTTGCAAAATCGTGATTCGTTTTAGCATATCATGTAAAGAATATTATACATACACATATAATATATCTCTGAATGAACGTATAAATATATTAATGATTTTTCAATATTAGCAGAGTCTGTGGTATTGGTAGTATATATTGAGCACAGCCATATACCTTTATATGTGAGTGTGTATGTGTGATATGTTGCGATTTTTGCGCGTTCCGAAACTAATTGAAAGTGGACTTCTTCTATCTGAATGGCTGGAAGGCTTCGAATTGAAAGAGGAGTGTTCAGTCATGGTGTATAAATAGACAAGATGTATTGTATTGCGTAATATTTTAGTTGTGGCGTCACAAGTCACAAGACGACACTAGGAGCAGCATTCGCCACTTATGCTCGCGAGCTTCTACTCTACCTGTTTCTCGCTAAACAGTGACAGTGCTTTCCTACCCCTTAATTGGATAGCATTCCGTCTCCGTCAGTCTCCGTCTGCTTCCGTCTGCCAATTGATTAGCTGTAATAGCTAAGTGTATATAGTGTGATCGAATTATCATAAGTTTCGTGAATATATAATCAGTGTAAATCCGAGATACACAAAAACCTGTAAAGAAAATAAACAAATATGGTTCAACAATATCAATCACCCGTGCGAGTTTACAAGCATCCGTTCGCTCTTGTTATGATGGTATGTTTATTATGTATTATACAACCTTCGAACTTGGCCGTCATAAATTATTTATTGAGCACTCCGTATTCTTATATCCTTCACAGCACATGTGTGCATATCCCAGATAATCCAATAACCGATCCAACAGCTGAATCAGGCGAATACCTGTATTAAATTATATATATATATCCAGAGCAATTATCTTATAAATGTCATTCTTTTTTTTTACTCTAAGAATAAGTTTAAACATGCAAGTCATTTAATTGCTCTAAGAATTTTTTCTCATGAAGCGAATTAATAATTGTGTTATGATGTAATGCACAAGGCAAACAAGAAAATATTTTATTTGTTCACAGGCATACGAACGTAGATTTCCAACATGTCCACAGATACCAGTTTTTGTTGGATGTGAAATTATGTTAGATGAAGAGAGCGAGAACGGTGCTATTAGAACTACAGAAAGACGGTGTAAATTAAATGTCGAAGCACCTTATATCTTAAAAAAGGTTTGTTCATATATATATATATATATATATATATATATCAGATATACAACATATATATATCAGATATACATGGGTGGTCTTATACTTATTATGACATTTAGTCTGTCATTTAGTTACTGTGGAAATTTATCGTTTTTATTGTTATTAATAGGTGTTTTATTAGATCTGAGATACTTGATATTTCTACTTTTATCTTATTTTATAGATTTTGAGGAGATATTATATATTAGTAGCTATGAAATTAAACATTTCTGATATCATTAAAACAGTTTCTTTTGCATTCAGGAAACAATGTTCAGTAATATATCGTTTATTTCAGATAATTGGTGTAGATTTTGTATACTTCATTCAAAGGAATGTTTTAGATAGACGGAATAATGTTTTAGAAATAGAAGCATTCAACGAAAGTTTTTCCAATAGAGTAACAGTTATTGAAAAATGTAGATATTTTGTAAGTATGACATAGATTCATTTACACATACATACACACAGATATTTTATAAAACTATACTTTTTCTTCATGTTAGAAATATTATATTGCATATTTTCTAACTTAATATAAAAACTAACTTAATATATAAAAAATAAATAAATTCTACTCTTGTTTTTCTTTCTTTAGATTCATCCTGAAAATTCAGAATGGACTTGTTTTGAACAAACAGCAAGCTTAGATATTAAAAATTTTTTTGGTTTTGAAAACTCGATGGAAAAATTAGCAATGAAGCAATATGCTCAAAATATTGCTAAGGTAATGCGCACAGCAGAGTTTCTATACTATTCTACAAATAACAAAGATAATGATTATAATACAGTAACAGTATATCAACTTTATTATCACATAAAATATAATTACATTATGTTTAATTAAAGGGTAAGGAAATTATTGAATATTTTGTAAATCAATTGAATGAAGAAGGCATTACCTATGTTTCTCCTTGGAAAGATCCACAGGAAGAATCTTCTGAAGAAGAAAAGTAAGTATATCTGTGATAATATTAAATTAAATTATAAATATGTTAGAATCTATACCTTTTGACTGCATAAATTTCACATTGCTTGTAAGAAAGCATCATCATGGATGAGCACTTCAGACATCAAGAGCACAAGTGATTGTGTAAAAAAATAATATTCAGAATCTTCCTAATTATGTGTAACATCTTACAATTTTAATTCCAGCAGTAAAAATTTAACACATTTTACCTAAATTTATACTAACAATTTATATTGAACAATTATTTTCGGTCTGCAATGGTTACTTTTTTTATATAGGAAAAATGTGGTTGAAAATGAGTTATATAGTGACAAAGAATTATGTAATGCCGACAGCAAACTGCCCAGCAAAAGAGGTATGCATATTATCTTTTCTAATATATATTATTTTGGTAAATAATAGAGTGCATATGTAATAACTTATTTTTATTTTTCTTATTCTTATTCTCAGAGATGCAACTATCTTCGGATTATATAGAGAGATATTTAGGAAAACTAGATATGATACAGGAAAGCAAATTAGTGCAACTTAGACATAGTATAGAGGAGCTGAGGGGAAGCTCGGTACCTGGTTATGCAACGGTTCTACGATTCCTGAGGGCTACCGAATTTTCGGTCGAAAAGGCTAAAGAAATGTTAACACAGTCCTTACATTGGAGAAAGAAACATCAGATCGATAAACTTCTCGATGAATATGAAATGCCACAAGTAATTAAAGATTATTTTCCTGGTGGTTGGCATCACTTTGATAAAGGTAATCACTCAATAAAAAAATTGCTACAAGTGTCATACTATATTGGACTATGCTGTGGAAAATAATAATATCAATATATGTAATACATAAAAAGATGCATGAGAGGTATATCATATTTTTTCTAATCATGTATCCTTTGATATATAGATGGACGACCTTTATATATTTTAAGACTGGGTCAAATGGACGTCAAAGGTCTACTTAAATCGATTGGGGAAGATGAATTGTTATTACTAGTAAGTTAGATTCATTTGGAAATATTAAAAAAAAATCGTTTAAAGTGATATTTAATAGTTTGATCTTACTTTTTCGCAGGCTTTACATATCTGCGAAGAAGGTCTACACTTGATGGAAGAAGCTACCACTGTTTGGGGACATCCAGTCTCGCAATGGACTTTATTGATAGATTTAGAAGGTTTAAATATGCGTCATTTATGGAGACCTGGAATAAAAGTATGAGTGTTTTAATAAGAAACAAATATAATTTATAGCTAGAATATATTAATTTATATATTTCATATGTCACAAATGATGATATATTGCTTAATATAACAATTTAAATTTGCTTAATTTGTTCCAGGCATTATTGAGAATAATAGAAATAGTCGAGGCAAATTATCCAGAAACAATGGGAAGAGTTTTAATCATACGTGCTCCTAGGTGCTTCCCTATTTTATGGACACTTATTAGCACCTTTATTAGTAAGATTATATAATTATTAATTTAAATTATAAACTAATTATTGTAAATATTTTTTTTACTAATTATAAATATATTAAAATTGCAGACGAAAATACTAGGAAAAAGTTTATTTTCTATTGCGGTTCAGACTATCAGGAACAGGGTTCTGGAGGTCTTAGTGAATACATTAATCAAGAGTTTATTCCTGAATTCCTTGGTGGTTCCTCAGAGGTAAGACTACAATAATATTAGCAAAAAATTAAGTTATACTTATTATTGATATATGGAGTTTATATAATAAAATATATATGCATTAATATACAATATATACATTGTAAATATTGCATATATTATTAAATTTCACATTTCAGTAATAAATATATTGTTAATATTAATATTCTATATACAAATATTATATTATGTTAATATTTTATTATGTAATAACCAAATGCTTTTATATATGGCATCGTAAATAAGCATTTAACAGATTCTAATATAATTTATGTACTGTATAAACAAAATATAATATAATATATATTATAGTACACAATCATTAATACCAGATTATTATAATAATCTTATGGATATATTTTTACTTTATGGCAATTAAGTATTTAATTTATAAAAAAATTTCAATACTCTCTTTTTGGAAAAATACACATACAATAGCGCCGTTTCTTGAAATATTTATACTGGTGTAATATATTGCATGTTGAACATTAGGAAATGAATATATGCGAAGTCTATAGTATGGTACCTCGAAGATTTTACATTTTCGACACAACTGCGAACAGTGTAAGAAAATGATACAAAATTAATGTTGAATATGTTGTAGAAGTTGTCCTCTGCAGCTAACTGGCTTTAGTGGAACAAAAAATGTGACGTTCTCATATTTATTAATAATGCACATTATTATATTTCGATATAACAAAGAAGCATTGATCGAAAAATATTGTTAAATGTAATATCAGCAATTGCTAGATACATAAGCATTGTCTGTATCACATTTGTATGTCTCTTTATCTTTCCATATGTCATTTATATCTGAGACCAGACTAGTTCATATACGAATCATCCACTGCTATAAAATCTCTCTGCTATAAAATTTTTACTTATTTCTAAATATATAGAAATTTGAAAAGTAATCCATTGAAACACAACATTATTTATGTGTATCATTAAACATGATCAGAAATCCATGTAATGCACGCAAGTTCAATCACTAATTAAAGAATATAGAACAACACCAGGTGCACGAAAAGTGAAGTAATTCTGCGTGCTAGCTAGTTAAATTTCAGAATATTTTAAACAGTTTTCATCAAAGATGTATAACTAA